TTGCAAAGCACTTTGGAAGTTCTTCTAGCTAATCAGAAGTAAAGTGGAACCTCAGCTCTCAAACTTAATTCATTCCAGAAGGCTGTTCGGGAAGTGATTTGTTCGAAAACCAAATCATTTTTTCCCGTTAGAAATAATGTAAATTAATCTGTCCCAGACCCCCAAATGATTCCCTGTTTTAGCCTTTCTTATATACAATATATGTGTAATGTACTGTTTAATCTATAAATAAACACTTCTTTTCTTAAATTTACTGAATCACCCCCTATTAGCCTTAAAGGAATCACGTTCAGCACTTGGACCTGTGGGGGCGGGGCAGGGGGCGCCTTTCAGGTCAGCATGCAGCATCTTTGCTTGCTCATACATCACAGCCTCAGAAATGGCTGTCACTGGCTAACTGCTTTCCCTTTATCCAAATCAGCAACAGTTTTTCTACCTCTTCAACTGCCTGTGATCATTGTTTCTTTTACACACCTAGCAACATTAGCATTCTTGATGGCCTCTTTATGTTTTCAGATTGTGCTAATACTTGATTTCCCCAGCAACTAAAGCATTCTCTCTTTTGCTTGTTGCCTGTGAGATGCTTTTTGTTGTATAGACATTAGAGATGAGGTTTGACTATAAAGGGTTCTTTCATGTATTTAACTCGCACCTTTCTCTTAGAAGCTAAAGCACTTTATGGGGCATCTAACCAACATCTCATCATCCTTCCCTTGTCATTCATTTAACAAATATTTATTGGGAGCCTACTATATGCAGGCAGTTTCTAGGTGTAGAGCAAGCACGTCAAACTCAAAGGCTAACACGGGCCAAATAAACAAGGTTTAAGTTTATGTGGACTGCAAAAAAACAAAAGCTTCAATATTCATATAAACGTAGGTTTATTTCGATAGAGACATGCTGAATACAAAGGGCTGAAATAAATGAGTAATCATTAACATAAAATAATAGAACATTTTAATACAAATTAATATTTTCTTCAACATTAACTTACTAGACACTGAGTAACTGCACAAATTAATAAGCATAATGCAAATAAACCTATTTTTCTTGTTCTCCAAAAGCAAAATATTTCCGGTTGCTCACTCCAAACAAGTCAGTACAAGACTAATGACGTGGCAATCGGCTGCTAAGATATTCCCTGCTAGTATTAGTGGAGAGAAATGGTGTGTCTGTGCGTAAGGGAAATGAATGCAACAGGATTATATAATCAGTCATGAGCAAACATTGTAGTTTGTTATTAATAACTAGAGGCTCAGTGCACGAAATTCATGCAGGGGTGTGTGTGTTTCCCTCAGACCAGCCTGCACCCTCTCCAATCTGGGACCCCAATCCAGGACTGTTGGCTCCCAACCGCTCACCTGCCTGATCACCCCCTAACCACTCCCCTGCCAGCCTGATCACTGCCTAAATGCTCCCCTGCCAGCCCGATTGCCCCTAAATGCCCTCCCCTGCTGGCCCAGTTGCCCCCAACTGCCATCCCCTGCAGGCCCGATTGCCTCCACTGCCCTTCCCTACAGGCCTGGTTCCCCCCAACTGCCCTCTCCTGCAGGCCTGGTCCCTCCCAACTGCCCTCCCCTTGCTGGCCTGATTGCTACAACTGCCCTCCCCTGCCAGCAATCTTTGACCACATGGGGGCAGCCATCTTGTGTGTTGGAGTGATAGTCAGTTTGCATATTATCTCTTTATTAGATAGGATTATGTGTAACAGGCTATTGTAAAAATTAAGTTACGGAATTTTTAAAAATATATTTTATTGATTTTTTTACAGAGAGGAAGGGAGAGGGAGAGAGAGTTAGAAGCATTGCTGAGAGAGAAACATCGATCAGCTGCCTCCTGCACACTCCCTACTGGGTATGTGCCCACAACCAAGGTACATGCCCATGTCCGGAATTGAACCTGGGATCCTTGAGTCACCAGGCCGACGCTCTATCCACTGAGCCAAACCGGTTAGGGCGAGTTACAGAATTTTTATTAAAATGTTTCTTACATATTGTTATATTGGCTGGGCCGTGAGTTTGACCTGGTTGGTGTAGAGTATAAATAAGTAAATAAACAGACAAAAGTCCCTGTTCTAGGAGCTCTCCTCCCATGGGAGTGGGGATGGACAGTGCTCTAAATGAGTATATCGATCACGTGGTATGTTAGAAGGTGCTATGGAGATAAGTGAAACCTGGAGCATAAAGGGTGAGCAGGAGGTGAGCTCAGCTTTCAGTGGGGTGTTCAGGGAAGATGTCCCCAAGACAGTGGCATCTGAGCAAAGAAGCCATCAAGGACATGTGGGTCTCTGGGACAGAGCACAGGATGCACAAAAGCCCTGAGGTGGAAGTGGGCCTGGCATGTTGCAGGAACAGCGAGGAGACCCGATGGTGGGTGGCATGAGATCAAAGAGGGGCTGAGCTGGGGAGCAGGTGGACACATCGTAGGGGGCTTCCAGGACATTGTAGGGGCTTAGACACTTTTAATCTGAGGGACATGGTAAGCCATTGGAGGGTGTTTGAGCCTCAGGATCCCTGGCCACTGTTGAGAATAGACTGGGATCAGGGAATTCAGGTAGGCTTTCATCACAGTCCATGCCAGAAAGTGGGCAGGAGGGCAACAGTGGGGGGCGCTGGACCATGCAGGGTGAGGTATGAGGAGTGGCTGGATTCTACATATAGTTATCATCAGATAGAGCCTTCCTTATTCACTAGTGGACTCACCTCTTCATTCATTTGACAAATACATGCCAGATATTGGAGACGTAGACCTGAATGGAGATGTGGCCCCTTCCTTTGAGGCGTTGGGAATTTAACAGGAAAAGACAGAGAATTGATAAGCTGCTCCCTGTGTACAAGGTGTGGGCTAGAGAAGCAGCACTAGAACTTTACCCCAGATGGTCTCCAAGCTAGGGTCCCCTGCCTTCCCCATCCCTCCGGCTGCCCGCCAATCCCGAGACTCCAGCTTGTTCTTCTCAACACCACATCCTCCAGCACTGCAGCTAACCTCCCAACTCTCCGGAACCTTCTCTTTGCCCCACTCTTTTCCTCACCCCTGGACTGGTCTCTGAATTAGACTGCTTACAGGGGCCTGAAGCATTTTACATTCACTTTACAGTAAAGGGAACTGAGCTATAGAGAGCTCAGTTTAACGTTAAGCCAACGTTAATGTCAGTTTCCTAAGTCTGTAAAATTTCGGTTGGAAAGTCTGGTGGGAAATCCTTTAAAGGGCCTGGATTTAAAGAGAGAAGGCAGTTGAAGGTCCATAGAGGAAAGCGACGTGTGGAGGTCCCATAGCTCGTGTGGAGCTGCTGGGCCGGAGCCTGGCTCCCGCCTCCCAGTTCTGTGACCCGTTTTCAGTCCCCTGTGGGATGACTTAGCTCTCTTGCCGGTGAAGAAAAGCTTTTCTTAACTGCAGCGTGAGTGATCTAGTGAGACGTAGGGTGGGACATTCACTGGACTGCCCAAGGAGCCTGTGGAATTCCTGTCCCTGGAAAGCTTTGAGAAGAGACATCTTGCTGGACCTCGGTTTTAGGTACAGACCAGCCAGCCCACAGGGTGGTGTCCCCAGGGTCTGGTCCTTCCCTCCCCTCTCTCCCTGACACAGACAGCCGGGTGCTTCCAGGCCAGCCAGTTCTTCTGGCAGACGAGACCTCCTGAGGGTGGCCTCTTCATTCAGCCTTGGCAGTGGGGAGAGGTCAGCTGGGGGGCCGGCGTGGCCTTGGCTGTGCTCTCTTTTTACAACTCAGGTGGCAGATAGCCCACTCGTCCTGCCTCCCCCCTGCATCAGCAGGTTCCTTACTCAGAGCCACAGCCCTCCAGGCTCAGCGAGCCCAGCAGGGCAGAGCAGGCTGGTGGCTGGGCCTTCTGGCCCCAGAGTTGAAGCAAGGAAGTGATAGCTGCCGCTCAAACCCTCTCTCCCTCCCTGTCCCCAACCTAATGCCCTTCTTTATGGTCTAATCCTCCCAGTGGTCAAGGTCCAACTGAATGCTCACCTGACCACCCAACCTGAACTGACCACTCGCTCTCAGAGCACACTGCATGTTGACTGTCCGTAGCATGAGCTGGAGCTATTGTGTGGACACATGTCTCTCCCCAACTAGGTGGTGAGCTCTTTGACCCAGGGAACCCCTTTTCATGATCTCATTTATGGTAACAGGGCACTTTTCCTGGGTCTCTCAGATACAGCATTAGCCTCTAGGACAGAGGTCCTCAAACGTTTTAAACAGGGGGCCAGTTCACTGTCCCTCAGACATTCCACACATGCCCACTGCGGGCTCGGGACGAGTCAGCTGCTAAGCAGGACAGGCAGCGGTGGCGGCAAAAACACCCAGCGGGCTGGATAAATGTTTTCGGTGGGCCGCATATGGCCCGCGGGCTGCAGTTTGAGGACCCCTGCTCTAGGATGTAGACCTGTTTTGACTGGTCTCCTCAGAACCATGGAGTGGAAGTGTGGTTGGCCTACGTTTGTGTATCTTGAGTTAAGGGCCTCATACCTCCTCTGGGGATAGTCAGTGTGTCAGCACTTATTTCCCCAGGCTCCCTGCTTCACACAGACAGGATATCGTGTAAGGGCCTGTGCATTTGTGGAGGTGGTAGGAACTGTGGGAGTTGCACAGGGAAAGGGCCAAGGCCCAGGCACTTCCTTGCAGACTCTCAAATGTGCAGAAGGCCCAGGAGAAGTGGAAGCAGAGAGGCAGCTGTCAGGCTACCATGGGCAGAGGTGAGGGGGCCACGTGATAAGGAGGCTCTGAGAGGGCACCTCAAGCTGTGCATCCAGCAGGAGGCCATGGCCCTGGCACCTCCTTGTTCTCAGGTGACCAGCCCACCAGCAAGGCCTCAGCTTCCTCTTGCTGCTGGGAGATCCCTGGGATCCAAGGATGGCAAGAGGAAATTTGCATAGTCCTCACCCCAGGTACCCACTCAAGGTGGGCAGAGGGTGCCAGAAGGGACCTCTCAGACACCTCATTTGCCTGCCTTTTGTCCTTCTCCTCCCACTGATGGCTCTTTGTTTCTCCACAGGTCGGAATGAGCTGATTGCTCGTTATATCAAGCTCCGGACAGGGAAGACCCGCACCAGGAAGCAGGTGGGCCCTGGGAGACGGGTATGGGTCCCCGGGCAGGCACCCCAGCACTAGCCTACTCCCAAGGTGGGCCAGGTCCTCCTCAGGACTAAGTGTGGGCTCTCAGTGGGACCAGCTTGGATGGGTTGTCTCTTTTGTGTCCCACGGACAGTTCATTTTCCCCGCCGTCCCTGCTGCCATCCCTCGTTTTTGGGGAGTCAGCAGTCCCCTCCCCATCCTTCTCCAAGACACCAGAGAATAGAAAGCAAAGCACTGGAACTGCACTTCTATTTATTTCCCAGCTGTGGATTAGAGGACTGAGGGCCCCTCATTGACTGACCCTTTCTTTTATTCATTCATGCATCCATTTACTCCTTTAGTCCACAGAAGTGGATTGAGGCCCATGGAGGGCTGAGGGTCAGGGATTTAGGATGGGGAGGTAGGCTGTCTGGGAAGTAGGGTCAGGAGCCTTCTCTTCTTGCCATAGGTCTCCAGCCACATCCAGGTGCTGGCTCGTCGCAAAGCCCGTGAGATCCAGGCCAAGCTAAAGGTAAGGCTCATGGCAGTTGTGGGAGGAGGGACCTAGGGCACAGATGGGGCCGTTTCTGGAAGTTGAGGCTCTTTTTCCAGCAGGAAAAGGCTTCCCTTTGTGTTGAGGGGCTGGCTGCTTGTGTGTGGAGCCAGCATGCTTCTTGGTATTGATGAGAGTGGGATTCAGCCTATAACCTCTCCTGTCCACACAAGAAGGGACACTTGACCTTAGAGCCATGTGTGGACTGCCAGGCTCCACAGCATCCTGGGGCCACAGGTCAGTCTCCTGCTGTGCCCCCTTCCCCCAGGGGCAGTGCCCTCACCAGATTACAGCAGAACGCCCTCCAGACCCCACTCCTTGAAGCCTCCTAGAGCCCCGTGGCTAGTACCATCAGCTGGCGCCTCCAGGGTGGTCAGGCATGGGAGGCACTGCTGTGGGTGGTTGGGATGCTGCTGTGGGAACAGGTGGAATTCCTTCCCATGCCCTGCTCTCTGGGACTGGCAGTTCCTTCCCCTCCCTGGATCAGCCCCTCCTCGAGTGACAGGTGACTGTTCTGTGGAGGGCCAGCTGCTGGCAGCATTCCCCTCGGGGCGGCCCTGCTCCCCACATGACTCAGGCCTCTCGGACCCTGGCCAGGGGGCCCGTTTGGTGAATACTAGGAGGAAGCATTGCATGGAGGTGTTAAGCCACTCCAGCCGCTTGGTAAGAAGAGCTAATAACATTTGGGGGCATTAGACTAAGACCAGCAATTTACAAACAATTTTTGTAAAGCAGTGTAAGTCCCTTTGGTTTTGTTTCCCCCAAATATCACCCCAATTTGTTATTAAAGGAGCTACTCAGGTCAACGCTAGGTTGGTGAGGAACAGACCAGAGGCCAGAGACTCCCTCCTTCTATTCACCTCTCATGCCCATGGCTCTTGAACCCCAAAGTACCTCAGAACCCAGTTTAAAAGCCCTTGACTACATGACCTTGAAGGTCCTGTGTGGCCCAGTAGTTCATGATCCCGACTCTGGAGGTTCTGAATGAGTGGGTGGGGACGCCTAGGAAGCCACACCCTACTGCCTCTCAGCTTTTTCCTCCTGCCATCAGCCCAGCTGTCCCCCACCCACTCTGTCTCTGGACAGCTGGCTGGGCCTCAGCTGTTCATGCCTCCTTCTCAGGCTGGCACATGCCCCTCCAGGTCACCCTGAGGGTCCTGGAGCCCAGCTTGCCCCTTGCTTCCCCCTCTGGTCTGCCTCTGACTCACTGGGACCCTGGGCGGGGACCAGAGTTGGGAACAGACTTTCCAGTGTTCTGTTTAGAGTCATTGAGGAGAACTTTTAGTTCCACTGGGGCCTGGCTGTGCGGCTCACATTTGCTTAGAGGAATTGCACCGCTCCTTGTCCACAGGCTCTCACTGGGGCCTAGGGACAACCACTGGGCACACATCAGGGAGCCACGAGCCCCTTTAATAATATGCAGATTTTCACATTTACATGGAGATTGGTCTGAGGATTTCCTCATATTCTCAAAGGGGTTTCAGAGCAAGGTCAGGCAGAAATCCTCTGGGTTTCAGGCTTGGTCTGGCCTGACTCTGCCTTGTGCTGCATGAGCTTAGGGGAATCACTGCCCCTTCCTGAGCCCCTCCAGTCTCCCCTTCTGTAAATGACAGGGTTAGGTAGTACCCGATAAGCGTACCCTCAGGTGAGGGTAAAAAGCATTATTAGTACTGTTAGTATTATTAGCAGTGTCATAGTGCTTATCTGTTCAGAGCCTGTGCAGGTGAGTCCATTCTTCAGGTTGGGCCCACAGAGGGCAGACAGCCAGTGTTTACATCCTGACCTGTAAAGGGTAGGGCGTGCTGGGGGGCCCCACAAGGCAGGATTGAGACGGGGGGGAGGTACGGGTCACAGGAGACTGTCCGTGCCACCAAACAGCCCAGGTGACCAAGGACGACCCCCTGCTCATTCAAAGGGGGATCCGACAGAATTATGTATCATCTGTCGTAAGCCAGGTGCCGCCCCAGCCACCAGTGGTGTGGGGATGAGCAAGAACTGAAAGGTTCCTGTTCTCAACTTGTAGTCGCCAGAGGGGAGGAGAGAGGGTAGAAAAGGTGAAGGGGAATAAGTAGCACAAACTTCCAGTTATAAAATAGATAAACCACAGGGATGTAATGTACAGCACAGGAATATAGTCAGTAATACTATGATAACTTTGCATCATGGCGGATGGTTACTAGACTTAGTGTGGAGATCGTATTGTAAGGTATGTAAGTGTCAAGTCACTATTTTGTACATCTGAAATTAATATACTATTGTATGCCACCTATACTTCAATAAAAAATTGTTTTTTAGTCTGAAAAATAAGTAAATAAATAAATAAAAGGTCCCTGTTCTCTGGTCCGTGGTTTGTAAATGGAATGGTCTTCAAAGTCTCTTTAAGTGCTGGTCAAATAGGCAGGGCAAGTATTGTGCCTCTTTGACAGATGAAGAAACTGATCCGAGAAACCACGTGACTTGCTCAGGATCACAAAGCAAAGTAATAGCTTTGCAAGGACATAAGCCTGTTCCCTGGGGCCTGCCTAGTCCAGGGCTCTGGCCACGGAGAGTGGGACAGCTTCCCTGACCACAAGCCCTCCCTGCCTCGCCTCGCCGCTGCTGAGGCCCTCCCCTCCACTGTCTTCCCCCAGGATCAGGCAGCTAAGGACAAGGCCCTGCAGAGCATGGCTGCTATGTCGTCCGCCCAGATCATCTCCGCCACAGCCTTCCACAGTAAAATGGCCCTCGCCCGGGGCCCTGGCTGCCCAGCAGTCTCAGGGGTAAGTGGGGCTGCCTGGAGCCAGAGGCCAAACCAGCCTCTCCTTCTCGCTCCTCCCCCTTCTGCAGAGCCAGAGCACTGGCCAGACCAAATTTCTCCTGCTTGAGTCCTCTCAGGCCAGGCGAGCTAGGGGGAAGGAGGGACCAAGGACCGAAGGGCCATGCTGGGTGGCAGCTCAGCTGGTATTGGAACTACCTTCCTGGGGGTATTGGCAGGAGCACAGCAGACCTTTCCCAAGGGACAGAGTCGCCCCCGTTAGCTGACCACCCAAGAAGCTCTACAGAGTTGGCCTAATGGACAAAAGGGGAAGCTGAAGTCCTGGGGACGGGGGCTGAAGCTGGGGCTCTGGTGCAGCACCAGTGTGACCCTGAGTGGCCCTGCCACTTGGCCTGGTGCCCACTCTGCCCTCAGGATCCCACTCCTTCCAGCTGCAGGGCTGATGTCCATCAACAAACTCTTGTGCAAATTTTAAATGTTTCGGCCTAAGAACTGGCCTCTCAGCCATGGCCAGGTGGCTCACACTTTCGGAATGGTCCTGAAAGGCTCCTCCCTTCCAGGGCTGTGTTCTCACAGGGTTTTCTTGGCTGTAGGGTCTAAATGGGTCTTCAAGAGCCGCTGTAGAGGCAGTGACAGCCCTGTCCTGGGCTCGGTGCAGCTCATGTCTATCATTTTTCAGAGGGTGTTCCAGAAAGCATTAGTCCACAGAATGTTTAAATAGATATGACACAGAGTGATTCTATGCATAAGTAAGTTTGGGGCACTTAGAACTGCCTTGGTTTCCTGACTGTAGGACTGTTCACAGCCTTACGTGCTGCTGTGCACTGTGGATCTCTCTCATGGAGGAATACGAGATGCTGTTTACCAAGCTGGGTGCTTCTCCCAGGGAGCACCATGTCAGCAGAGCGTGTCCAGAGACTAGAGTGCCTTGAGACACACTGGGATGCTGCTGTAGCCAAGCTCTAGACAGTAGCAATAACTCTTCCTGCACCCACTGGTCCAGGCTCCAGCTCACCTTCCAGCTGAGGCCACAGCACCGTCTCCCCACACCAGGGCCCTTGTGCACATGGGCTATGCTGACTATGCTTTTTGCCTCCTCAGTTTTGGCAAGGAGCTTTGCCGGGCCAAGCCGGAACATCCCACGAGTGAGTATGGCCTGCTACCAGCTGCTCCCTGAACTGAACTGGAGCGCATAAACTCAAGAGGTTGAGCCTGGGCCGCAGGGTGGGACTGGGCTGCAGTTTGGGGTCTACCTTTTATTACGGCCTTGAGCTTGGGGATCCGGCTCTCCTGCTCTCAGACAGCAGCTCAGTCTACACTGTGGACACCCTGTGGTGGCTTTTGCCAAAACACCAGTCTGTCCATGAGGTAGCAGGGCCAGGGATTGGGACCCCACGGGAAGTAGGCTAGGAACCAGGGCTCTGGCTGGCCTGTGAGGGAGGGATAAGGGAGGGATGGGTTTTTCAGTAGACATGCTGCTTCTGTGGATCAACCCTGAAACATGAGGGAGTTGGCAGGAGAGGAAGTGGGAGGCCAAAGCCCACCAAGGCCACTGATGACCAGACCACCGGGCCTGCCACACAGAGAGCGATGGACGCTGCTCGAGGCTCTGGGGCTGCATCCTGCCCAGGGCTTACACCTCCTCTCTCCCCTCCCGCAGTGTGAAACCTTTCTCTCAACAAACCTACACTGTCCAGCCTTCGCTGCCTCTGCCAGGTGGGTCTGCAGTGAACAGCTCCCTCGCCCGTCGCACCCCTGCAGCTCCCGCCTCCAGGTCCCAGGTGCCTGGCAGCTGGAAAGGGAACCCTTACTAGCAGAGGGAACCCTTCCTGGGAAGAGGCCCAGAGCAGGCGCAGGTCCAGCAGCTGGGCCAGCACAGGAGCTCACCCCCTTGCACTGCTCAGGTGACCAGCTCTGTCCTTGCGTCTTTCTCATGAGGGTCCCTCACCATGTTCCACTCGGCAGGGCAAGACAGGATCCTCGCCCTCAGCACCTTTTCTGGCTTGGGAGTAGCTGCTGCCCCCATTCTGCCTGGCCTTTCCTGCTCTAGGGGCTGCCGCCTGGGGTCCTCCCAGCCCTGTGCAGTCTCCCCTCCCCTCTTTGCCTCACTGGCCTCGCTGTGCTTGCTCAGGCCTCCTAGATCTTGCCTGGATTACTGTGGTGGCCACTTAACTGGCTCCAGGTCTCCCGTCTCTTCTCTTCACCCTGTAATCCCCCTCGTCATCTTTTTAAAGCACCCATTTCAGCATGTTGCTTCTAGGCATGGAACCCTATAATGGCTCTGGTGCCTTCAGGATACAGTGTGAACTGGTAGGACTTGCAGGGCTCCTCTGTTAAACCTCATCTTTCTCCCCTCTCCTTCCCTCCCTGCCTCAGTGCTGTGGCTCAGGCACCCACCCCCCACCCCAGATCAGGTGCCCTGCTGGTGCACCCCCACCTAGCATCTGACTGTGGTCATCTGTGTGGCTGATTTGTCCACCTCCTCCAGTATCCTGTCCTGCCGGCACTCAGCAGTTCCTCGGGAAGCATGCTTGTACAAATGAATGAATGACTCAGCTGATGCTTTAAGCACAGGCTAATGTGTCTGTCCAGCTCGGCCTTCCAGCCACCCCTCTGATTACCATTTCTTCTCCATCTCCCTCCTTGGACCTCAGCACATGGGGCCTCCCTTCCTCTGACTCCCAGCCTGGAAGGAACACTAGTGCCTTCTGGACGGCCTCGTTGCTCTCTCGTCGTCAGTCTCCAAGGCCTGGGCTTGTCTTTGCTTCATGTCCGTCTGTGCCCTCCTCTTTCCTCCACTGCACTTACTTTAAACCCCGCAGGACTGCTTTTGTCTGCCGTGCCCGCCCTGCCAGTCCTCCTCCAAACGGGAATAGGGTCTTTCAGAAATGCAGATCTGAGCATTTCCCTGCCCTGCTTACGTAAAATCCTGTCCCTCTCCCAAACCCTTAGGCTAAAATTCACACTTCTTAGCCCAGCCCATCTCTTCAGCCCTGTTCCTGGCCTGGTCCAAACCCGTCCTTCTCTCCAGTTCTACCACAGACTTGAGTTTCCCAACTCATGGAGCATCTCACAGCCCCCAGACCTTTGCCTCTGCTGTATCCTCTGCCCGGAACGCCCTTTCCCTGGCTTCACGAACTGCCGTCTATTTCTCCGTCATAACTCCTTTCAAGCGTCGCCTTCGGAAAAACCTTTCCCGACCACCCCAAGTTGGACTAGGAGCTCCTCTTTGGTGCTGAGTGTATACCTTATCAATTTTAATCCTATTCACGACTTCCTTTACCACAGACCTGTATCAGAGTGCCTATCCTGGGCCAGGCACTGCTCAGTACTGGAGCGACAGCAGGGAATCCCACAGGAGATGTTCTCTTCTCACAGGGCTACGTCAATGTGGTTAATGATGGTCTGATAGCTCCGGTGGACCAGAACCTCCTTGAGGGCGAGAACCCAGCAGAGCCTGCCCTGGAAGCCCTTTCAGTCCAGCAGGCATGCAGTCTCTCTGGAGTGTGTGGCCAGGGGACTGAGTTGTACCAGGCAGGCTAAGCCCTCCACCACCCCTGTCAGAGCCCATTTAGGGGAAACTGGTGATTCCCTTGCTAGCACTGTCTCACCGGTGGGCCTGGGGTCCTCACAGAGGCTGTCAGCAGGGAGGGCGTGTGTGAACAGGCTCACATGTGCCTCTCCCACTGCCTGCAGGGTTCGAGTCTCCTTCAGGAGCCGCCCCATCGCCCTCAGCACCCCCAGCACCCCCGTGGCAGGGCCGCAGTGTGGCGAGCTCCAAGCTCTGGATGCTGGAGTTCTCTGCCTTCTTGGAGCAGCAGCAAGACCCTGACACGGTAGGTCCTGGTCCCTGTCTGGCTACTCTTTCACCCTGCAGCTCCCCCACCTTTTCCAGCTCTTGTTCCACCTGCTTCTGGCTTCCTAGCCCAATCCTGCCCCGCTCAGCTATGGGCTTGAATTTAGGTTCCTCATTTCTTGGCAGCCTTTCCTTCCCTTGAACCTCTTCCCCTTTTCCTTTCCTTCCTCAAGCCACCTCCCTCTTCTTTCCTCACTTCACCTTCCCTCTCTCCCTGTGTAGCTATTGCTCCCATCCCAAAGCCCCCACCACGGTTTCTTTGCTCCATGTCCGTTCTCAGGTGCTCTCGCTTTCCTGCTCCCTCCCTGACCTCTATTCTTCCCTCCATGTCCTCTTTCCTCCCAGTGAACTGCTCATCCCAGCCTCACCCCCAGGCTGTCCCGTCCTTTCCCTGTGGCTCTGACCCACATCCCCCTTCAACGGCTTGTTCCTAGATGAACAGTGTCACCTGCAAGGTCAGAGTAGCATGTGGAGGAGGCTGGGCCAACAGGGACTTAGTGGCCATCTCACTTTGACATTCCCAACTTGTCTTTTAGGTGAGGGACTCATTAGTCAAACAAGCTCCTACTCAGAAGCCCACTGTGTGCAAAAAGTAGATTTCATTTGGTTGTAGAACAGAGGCACCCAGCCCTGTCTCCACGGGTGGAACACAATTTGAAAACACCTCTAGGTCAGTGGTCTGATCTCTGTGAAATAACAGAGGCCCAAAGATAGAAAAAGACTTGCCTAAAGACAGTTCATGGCAGAGGCAAGACTACGAATAATACAAATAATAGCTACAATTTATTGAGCACCTGCTGGGTGCCAGACACCCCACCAGATGCTGTATACCATTAATTTTGCTTTATAGTCAATCCTTTGTCTCCATTTTACCAGTGGGAAAACTGCAGTCCAGAGAGGTGAGATTACTCACTCCCGGTCACATGGCTGGGATCTGAGCTCTGGTCCGTTTTATCTGCCCGGCTACCCCTGCCTCTCCCTCAGACCAGCTGTTCTCTCCACAGTACAACAAGCACCTGTTCGTACACATTGGCCAGTCAAGCCCAAGCTACAGTGACCCCTACCTTGAAGCCGTGGACATCCGCCAGATCTATGACAAGTTCCCGGAGAAAAAGGGTGGACTCAAGGAGCTCTTTGAACGGGGACCTTCCAATGCCTTTTTTCTCGTGAAGTTCTGGGTAAGCCCTCGATAGACTCTTCCGCCCTACCCCCAGCACATTGATGAAAGAGGAGAAAAGAGGGAGAGTGGCACCCGGTGTTCTTGTCGTGGTACAAATTTGAGGAGCACAGGGCCAGTGAGAAGGGGAGGAGCGAGCATCAGTGGCTGAGCCTGGGAGTTGGGCCAGTGGGGCTGGAGAGTTGGGCTAGTACGAGGCCCTTTTCTTTTTTTAAATACACTTTTATTGATTTCAGAGAGGAAGGGGGAGGGAGAGAGAGAGATAGCAACATCAATGATGAGAGAGAATCATAATTCGGCCACCTCATGCATGCCCCCTACTGGGGATGGAGCCCGCAACCCGGGCATGTGCCCTTAACTGGAATCGAACCTGGGATCCTTCAGTCCGCAGGCTGACACTCCATCCACTGAACCAAACCAGCCACGGCACGCGGTCCTTTGCTAAGCCATGGCAATGGCAACCATGCCCAGCACAAGAACAGCCTTTAGAAGGCTATAGTACTGGCAGACTTACAGGAGAGACTGAGGGATAGGCGAAGAGCCAACGCGGACCCCTAGTCACCCGAGTCTTTGAATGGCAAGTCCTGAGTTGGTTGTAGGGCCTGGAGCAGGGCAGTTGGTCCCTAAAAACTCATCTCCAAGGACAGGGCTTAGAGAAGAAGGCTGTAGGGCTAGGCAAGGTCACCCCAGAAGAAACACTCACCTAACTTTACAGACAGTTCAGCCTGTGGACTTGGTCCCTGCTGCTCACTTCCGCTCGCCCCTGGACAGGTGTTATGTGGGTAGAGTTCCATCCTTTCAAAAGATCTTCTTCAAGACTAGGGGGCATAATTAATACCTGCTCTAGAGCTTGCTTCTGAGGGGCCCAGTACACACAGAAAAGGGATGTAGAGCCCAGCTGGCGTGGCTTAGTGGTTGAGCATCAATCTATGAACCAGGAGGTCACGGTTTGATTCCTGGTCATGGCACATGCCCAGGTTGTGGGCTTGGTCCCCCAGTGTGGGGTGTGCAGGAGGCAGCTGATCAATGATTCTCTCTCATCGTTGATGTTTCTTCCTCTCCCTCCCGCTCTGAAATCAATAAAAGTATATTTTTTAAAAAAAGAAAAGGGATGCAGGGAAGAGTCAGACAAGTGCAAACTAAGCCAGCAGTGAGGAAGTGCAGGAAATCCTCTGGTTTGTGATTGGAGCCTTTGAATAGTTTCAGGGCACTGACACAAGGCCTGGGCGGCTCCTCCCACATTCCTCTCCCTAGCACCCTTGTTAACACCCAGAGACAGCTCGGGGTTTCGTATCCTTTATAAGGTCCCAGAACACTTTGATTATCTGAAAGCTTTACTTTTCACAGAAATAGGCTTATGCACACTACATTTTATACGGTATACATTTCTAGGTGGCTTACCGGGCCCTGGCTGGACTCCTAGTCTAGCTCTCATTCACAACAAACCCTTGGGTCTGGCTCTCTCCAGAGAGGCAGGTGCTGGAACTGAGCCCCACGGCCCTGATCTTTCAGGTGCTTAGCTTTTGCACTCTGCGAGACAGCTTGCTCCGGGAGCAGGAAGGCAGCTGGACCTGAGCCTTTAGGGTGGGAGGATCTATTAGGCAGGGATGGGGAAAGGCTATTACAGCCTAGGGAAGGCATAAGGAAGTGGGCTTTGGAGGGAAAGTCCTAGGTACAGGTGTATGAGGGGATAACAGAAATGAAACTGCAAAGGTGTTAGATCCTGGGAGGCCCTGATCATACAGAAGTTTGGGTTTTAATCTATCCTGGGATGAAAAACAGGTAATCATTTATTTTACTTTTACCTTACTTTTAATTCAATGCATGTTCATGTTATATTGTTTAATACCAAGAGGCTTACAATGAAATGCAACAGATTCTTGTCCCACTTCTCCCCAATCCCAATCCCCAGAGGCAGTTGCTGTAAGTTTTCACTGTTTATTCTGGCTTTATCTCCTTGATGCTAAATAATAAGCTTATACTGACATACCTGGATGTCACAACCAAGATATTTATTCTTATGTCAGAAAAAAAGTAGCTGAGAGAGGAGAAGGGAGGGAGAGAGAGACAGAGACAGAGAGAAAGAGAAACATCGATTTGCTGTTCCACTTATTTATATACTAGGAGGCCCAGTGCACAAAAAGTCATGCACTGGGTGGCGGGGGTGGGAGGATCCCCTCAGCCCAGCCTGCGCCCTCTCACAGTCCAGGAGTCCTCAGGGGATGTCCTACTGGTGGCTTAGGCGGGGAGCAGGCCTAAGCTGCAGTCTGGCCTCTCTCTGTGGGAGGCAACTGGGCTGGCCAATCAGGGGAGGTTGCTGGCCACCCCCGCCATCGCCCCTCTGCTGCTGCTGGTCACCCCCCCGCCCCTTGCTGTTCCCTCCCTCTGCCCATTGGCACAATCCTTGGCTGGCCTGGTGCTGCCTGTTCGCTGGCCCCGCCCCCTGCTGACTGGTCATTCTGCCATTTGGTCGATTTGCATATTATGCTTTTATTATATAGTATTCATTATATGCCCTGACCAGGGATCGAACCCACAATCTTGGCCTATCATCACCATGCTCCGACCAACTGAATTACTAGGCCAGAACGTCATCATCCCCGTATTATATTTAATAAGTTACATAATTTAGTCAAAGCCAAGAAATATATTGTGATTAATTTTGTTTCTAGTACAGCTTTTTGTTTTTTTCCTACAAATCAATGGCTTTCTCACTTACATATTTTCAAGTTTTTTTAAATCCTCACCAGAGGATATTTTTTCCATTGATTTCTAGAGAGAGAGTGAAAGGGAGGGGAGAGGGGGAGAGGGAGAGATGTGTCAACATGAGAGAGACACATCGATTGTTTGCCTCCAGCACTTGCCCCTACTGGAGCTGAGGAACATGCAACCTAGGTACATGCCCTTGACCGGGAATTGAACTCTCAACCCTCTGGACTGACATTCTAACCACTAAGCCAAACTAGTCAGGGCTCACTTCCATATTTTTAAATGAACCTATTATTAAAATGTTACATATTGTTCCATTATAACTACCATATAAAATTATTTTTTCAAATATTTTTATTGATTTCAGAGAGGAAGGGAGAGGGAGAGAGAGATAGAAACATAAATGATGAGAGAGAATCATTGATTGGCTGCCTCCTGTACCCCATACTGGGGATCGAGCCATCAGCCTAGGTATGTGCTCTGATCGGGAATCGAACCCTGACCTCATGGTTCATAGGTCAACGCTCAACCACTGAGTCATGCCTGCTGGGCCTGATACCTTTTTTACTGAAGTCTTCCTAGATCTGCAGTTTCCTAGGTCTCATTTCTCTCTGTTTAGGTGTCCTCCTCATTTGCTGGGACACATTCTCTAGTACCTTCCTAAGAAAAGGTAGTGTGATAGGTACATTTTCTAAGTCTTTGTTTAAAATGTCAGTTTTGTACTTGATTGATAGATTGACTGGGTATAGAATCTAAATCATAAATCATTTTCACTAGAAATAATTTTCAAGAATCATTTTTTGGCCTTATCCGGTAGCTCAGTGGTTAGAGCGTCCACCTGTGCACCAGAGGGTCATGGGTGCGATTCCTGGTCAAGGGCATGTACCTGGGTTGCAGGTTTGATCCCAGGCCCTGGTCAGGGAGCATTCGGGAGTCAACCTAAATCAATGTCTGTCTCTCACATTGATGTTTTTCTCTCCATCTCCTTCCTTCCTCCCTCCTTTCCACTCTCTAAAAATCAATGGAAAAAAATATCCCTTGGGTGAGGATTAACAATAACAAAAAAGAATAATTTTTTAATGCATTGTTCCATTGTCCTCTAACAGTGTGTAGTCTGATAGCATTCTAATTCTCTGTCCTTTGTTGTGGGGTGTCTTTTTTTTTTTGGTCTCTAGAAGTTTTGCATTTCTTCTCTATCCCTTATGTTTTTGTTTATTTTTTAAATATATTTTTACTGATATTTTAGAGAGAGAGGGCGATGTTGGGGAGGAGAAGAGAGAAACATGCACCCTGACTAGAGATTGAACCTGCAACCTGGGGATGTGCACTGACCCGGAATCCAACTGACAACCTTTCTGTTCATGGGATGATGCTCTAACCAACTGAGCCACACTGGCCAGGGCATATCCCTTATGTTCTTACATTTTACATTGATGAGCTTTTGTGTTATTTTGCTTCCTATTTTTGAGCCTGACACTTGTTAGACACTTTTAATCATGAGGTTAGCATCTCTTAATTTTGGAAATTTCATTATTGTATTATTAATGTATAATAAACTTGTATTATTTCTATGACAATTTCTTTCTCTCTTTTTCTTTCTGTTCTTTTCCAGGAACTCCTATTAGTCTGATGTTGGATCTACTGGACTTATCCTCTATGATTTTTATCACTTCTTTATTTTCAAATTCATTTTCTTAAAGATTTCCTTAACCCTTTCTTCTAATTCTTCTGAATTAGTTAAGAGTATATCTAAGTGCATATTACATAAAACCCAAAGTAACAGTGGCATAAATAAATAGTTTATTTTTCTTTCAGGTAAAGTAAGTTTGGAGGTAGGCTGCCCAGGGCAGGTCCAGCACTTCCCTAAATCACCAGGAGCTGACCGCTCTCTGTGTCCTCAGTGCCTGGCCTCTGTCCCCACAGTGGTGGCTGCTGGAGTCCAGCCGTCACACGCATATTCCAGGCATCAGGAGGGAGGAAGCCCACTTAGTTCCCTTCCAGGAGCCTTCCTGGAAGTCCTCACAACACTTAATTAGCTGTGTGTTGCACCTAGCTAACAAGGAGCCAGGGAAATGTACTCTTAGTTGAGTAAATTGCCAAATAAAATCAGGGTTCAATTGAAGGATTTCTCTTTCTTAGTAGTCATGACACATTGCACACTTCAGGATGAATTAGATGAATGAGATATGGTGGCATTCTCTGCCACACCTGTCCAATGTTGAATGTTGACCATAAACCTTTTAATTTTTAAGAGCTCCTTTTGGTTCTTTGATTATATCCTGGTCTTGTTGG